AACAGAAACTCAGTGAAAGTGCTTGAGTTTAGCAAACAGTTAGTATTCTGTGTGTCCCACTTTTGCTTTAATAATGCAAACAGTCTTATAGGCATTGCCGCAGCATACTAAATCAAAGTGTCCTTGGGAATTTTGCTGTAAATTTCTCTAATACACTCCCATAAAGTTTTTTTTTTGGAATTAACTCTTGATTTGTCAAGTTTTTGAGGGCCTGGGAAGGTCAGGTGGTTAGAGAGCTCGACTCGCAATCTGCGGGTCGCGGGTTTGAATCCCCGTCCCACCAAACATGCTCGACCTTTCAGCCGTGGGGAAGTTATAATGTTATGGTCAATTCCACTATTCGTTGATAACAGAGTAGTCCAAGAGTTGGCGGTGGGTGGTGATGACCAGCTGCCTTCCCTCTACTCTTAACCTGCTAAATTAGAAACTTCTAGCGCAGATAGCCTTCATGTAGCTTTGCGCGAAATTCAAAACAAACAAACAAATAAGTTTTTGATCTATCAAATCCCAGATCTGCTCAATTGGGTTGAGATCGGGGCTCTGTGGGGGCTATTGAATCATTTGAATGACTCCAGCAGCTTCTTTCTTAGCTAAGCAATTTCTGCATAGGTTGGATGAGGGTTTGGGGTCATTATTTTCTTGGTAGTAGATTCCTTTACCAAGAATACGCAAACCACTGGGTATACCATGACGGATCAGTATCTTATGGTATTACGCTGGTCCATTATTCCATCTATTTTGCAAATATCTCCTGTTGCTTCAGCAGAAAAACATCCTCGAAACATTACATTGACTCCCCTGTTTTGTGGTAGGTGCTATGCATTGAGGTAAGTATCTTTCACCTTTCTTCCGCCGGACGTACAACCTTTGAACCAAATATTTCAAACTTGGACTCATCCGTCCATAACACCCTTTTCCAATCATCAACAGTCCAGTTTTGTATTTTTTTAGCAAATTTCAGTCTCTTGACAATATTTGGAGATCGAAGTAAAGGTTTTTTAACTGCTACACGACCAAATATTCCATTCTCGTTGAGTCTTTTTTGATACTGTAGATCTGGATACTTTTCTGTCATTTGGTACATGGTCGTTTATCTCATGCTTGAGATCAGTGACAGTCTTTCTTCTGTTCCGAACGCTGCATAAACGAAGATACTTAACACTAGTATAATTGAGTTTAGGTGTTCTGTTTCTTCCTTTGCTATTTTCAAATTTACCTCTCTCGGTCTTACGACCTAGTGGGTACTTGACAATGTTTGGGGAGCATTTCAAGTCTGCAGAAATTTCTCGGAGAGTCCAACTAGCATCGCGTAAAGCTTTTATGCGAACTCTCTGCTCTACGCTTTTTGGGCCGTGGCATCACACTGTTTTTATCTAGGTTTATTTGTGGATTGCTATTAACTTGATTTCTTTTAGCATATAACCTACCACATGCTAGCTCCTTGCTAGCTTCTTTCTATATGGTTAAGACACTGTATGGGGTACCATAACTGTTATTTCAGACCCTAAATTTGATAAGTATGTTCTTTCAAGCATAACCATTATGACATGCCCTTGGTACAAGTATATGGGAATTCTAAAGAATGATAAGTATTCTCACCCTGGCACATTCAGTTGTCAACATGGATCAGTGAAGCATTACCATAGTGTTGAAATTTACATTCTGCAATGGCATGGAAGAATTAGCCCAATAAAATGGAAAGAATGACAAAATATTCTCTTGTCCTAACACTTTTGCACATATTGCACTTTTATGTATATATATATATATATATATAATATTATGTTAAAAGGAAAATTAACATTGCTAAACATAAGTATTAGTTTACATTTATTTATTTAAAATATTAATAAATTATCAAGTCATACTAAGTGTGTTCATTTATAACATACGCCTATGTTTCCAAATATCTGATATAGCTATCCTAATATAGTACAAATATTAGGAAACATTTTATTGCTCAATAAAAAAGCTATGTAGGGCTGGCTACTGAACTTGAAAAATGGAACCAAAAAGATAGGGATGGAAGTAGAGATATCACTTGATCTGGCTGATGATCACAGAGCAGACTAAGCCGTCTCGACTTTATATTATTGGCTTCCCCATTTTGTCTATCGAATGTTTGGTGTTTGAATATAATCTCAGCTTTCAATATTATACCTTATCTTTAGTTAATTTTAGAATACTACTTTTATGACTATTTTACAATAGAGTAACATTTTACGATTGGAAAATTTGGTTATATTTGTTTTGCCAGTGAGGAAGCCAGTAACGTGATGCTTACTGGGAAATTTTTTTTATGTATCTACTTTTTTTAGATCTTGCTTTATGTCATTGAATTCATTACGCATGATTAGTTGAAGAGGTCACAGAAATATACATAAAATAATATTATTGATAAAGGTTGTTATCTTTTCACAATAACAATTTTCAATAGTGCCAAGAGTTTGGGATATTAACAGTTTAAAGCAGATAATGACATTGAACGAAACTGAACTTTTGCTTTTTCACATTCTAAATCTGCCAAAAATTATATTATAAAAAATTCGTAATGGCATTGCGAATTCGATAATTATATATTTTAAGAAGGTTATATATGACGAAGAGAGATTGTGTATTTAAAGTCTTATACCAGTTCGATCTGTATAAAGTATAAAAGAAACAACAACACAAAACTACAAAGTCAGTAATTAAAATCAAATCAATTTGAATATAGAAGGTCTAATCATAAATATGAAATTTAATTGAACCATAAAATATATATATTAGCAAAACTCTGAAAATGTTATTTAGGTAATAATTATTAGATGGACGAAGCGCATTCAAAATTTATAATACAACTGAAGTACTGTATATGTTTTTAAATTAGATTATAATAGACAACAGAAAATTTGCCGTGTCTTGTGAATGCAAATTGCTACTATTGTTAATCCTTGATAATCATAGTTAACACTATCTAGAACAAGAAGAAATAAAAGGCTCCGTACAAAAAAATGTCATACAACGATGCTCTCAAATGGCCAAAGATGATGAAGTAAACTTTACTCTTAAATATGTACACAGTAAAAATCGTTATATTTAAATCAAAGAAGATTATATATCTTTTTTATAAACTTGTGGTTGCTGGGAATGAAAATGTACAGGGTATAACTAAAGACGTCTTTAAAACACTTTTGCGTTTTGCGACGAATCAATCACACTTTATATTTAAAAGTGAAATCTATAAACAAAATTGTTGGAGCAGCTATGGGCTCCAGCTTTACGCCTGACATTGCTAACCTTTTTCTGTGCTTACATGAAAATGATGTCCTGGCATGGCCTGGTGGTTAGAGCGCTCTACTCCCAATTTGCGGGTCGCGGGATCGAATTCCGTCATCGAACATGCTCGAACTTTCAGCCTTTAGAGCGTTATACAGGAAAGGTCAATCTCACTTTTCGTTGGTAATGAGTATCCCAAGAGTTGGTGGTGAGTATCTTCAACAAAACATTCAAACAAATCCATGAAAATGTTTTGTTATAATCCTTTCCTGCATGGTTTAAGCCAGTGTATTACAGGAGATATGTTAGTGACACTTTTGTGGTGTTTAAAAGTGTTGAGTCTGGTAAGGATTTTTCTAGTTTTTAAATGGTGACTATCCAAGTATAAAGTTTACTGTTTAAAATCAACATAATGACAAATTATTCGTTTTAGATGTTCATGTCTTAAATAACCAGGGTATACTTATTAAAGAAGATCATCAACCCACTTTTATTGAGCATTATTCACATTTTGAAACTTCAGTTCTTTAGTTGTTGTTTTTTTAAATCTGGTTAAAACCTTCTTATAAAGAACCTTTAAGATTCAAGAAAGTAAAAACGTTTTGAATCAGGAGTTTAGAACATTGAACAAAAGCTTAGAAGAAAACGTTTTCCGCTGAAAGTAGAATAATCCACACCCATACTGAAAAAACTCAGTATCTCATCTATTGTCATGTTGGATGTTCCGGAGAAAACTGTTACTTTAGTAACACCCTACTTAGGCATTATTTCTTACAATATTAAGAAGAAAATTATCAAACAGCTACATGCACAAGTTCAGGTAAAACGTGTTCTAAACCACAACTTAGGTTAAAAGGGCTCTTCAACTTCGATTGTTGAATATAAGGTGGACTAAAAACAAAATGAAACAACAGGCCAGATTACAAAATATCTTAGTTTCCTGTCTGCAAAAATATTACATAAGTTGTATTATATTAAAATTAAAACTTATTTATATATTAAAGTTAAAAGATAAGAGGCATCTAGCTTATTTAGTTAAGCCTTTATAACTTTTATTTTTGGTGACTGTTGTTAAAAATATTAATTTTCTTGTTAATTAATTTTAATATTCTAATTCATTTCGAATTATTTTGAGAATAAGATAGTTAACTTATATAATTTTCTTAGATTGTCGTTGATTCTAATATGGTCTTGCGTTTATTCGCCCTGTTGGCGTTAATATAATGTCGAGCAGAGATTAAAAGTCTTGCTCTCCACTTTATATATTAAAAGCACAAGCCTTTCTTATTTACATTGGGAACTTAGTATAACAATTATACATAATAATAATAATATATAGCTAAATAAAATAAAATGAATTAATAAATAACGAAATAAAATATTTAAAAGAATAGTAATCGATTACTGCCGACCGGTTACCCCTTGTGCTCGGTGATTAAAAATTCGGGACAGACACGCTATCTGGACTGCTCAATCACAATCGTACTGTGACAAGACTCTATAATTAGAAGAGTAGAGGCTGTAGTTTAGTGCTTAACCATAAATAAAAGTATCCACTGAGATATTACATATATTTATGAATTTCTCTTTTATACTTATATCCTGATAATGTATAAGCATATATATGTCTTACTATGAGCCCTAAGCAGTTCTGAACTCATGAAATGTTACAAGTTATATATATATTTGTCAATTTCATTTAGCTACAATTAAATGTTATTTTCTTTAATATTCATTTACAGGACACCATGACACTGTGCACCTTGGTGGCTGGAACAGCTTTTGGAGATGGCGTTTTAAATAACAGCCCCCACACGGCCACTGTTGTAACTAGTGAACATTGCGAACTTTTGCGAATCGAGCAACAAGATTTCCAGGAATTATGGGAGGTTGGTATAGTCTAGCAAAACTGAGAGAATTTAGGTGTGTTGTTTTCTTTAAACCAAAAGCCTCCTCTTTAATAACACTTTCTATGTAAGTTTTATATTGTGGTGTTTTATGGATTTAATGAAACAAAAAACTTTTGTTAACTTAATGTATGAGAACCATGAGCAAATTACGTTTCTGTATGCTTTAAAATTCCAATTTTAGTTCAGTGGGTTTTGTCTGATAGCTAGTCACCCGAAGGCATAGTAGGCGTTCTCAAGAGAAATAGCATGATACTCCTAATAGGCTTTTACTGTTTGCAAGACTTATTCATATCAACAATTTCACTTGTGGAAAACATATACTATAGACTTGTTAGACCTTTTTTGCTCTTGTCATATCTTTGGTAAAACAACTTTCACGGGACTATCTCCCTTATTTTAATAATACTGGGTTGAACGAAAAAAAGAAAAACCTGTAGACTTAGTTAATGCTGTTAGTGTTTGCAAAGACTTTTCTTTTCGTCAATAAATAAACTAATATGATGCAATGGTTAAGAGACTAGGAAGATACTTGGTATGGCATGGCATGGCCAGGTGGTTAGGGCGCTCGACACGCAATCTACGGGTCGTGGGTTTGAATCCTCGTCCCACCAAATTATGGGCGTTATAATGTGACTGTCAATCCCACTATTCGTTGGTAAAAGAGTACCCCAAGAGTTGGCGGTGAGTTGCGATGACTAGTTGCCTTCCCTCTAGTCTTACACTGCTAAATTAGGGACGGCTAGCGCAGATAGCCCTCGTCTAGTTTTTTGCGAAATTCAAAACAAACAAACAATTGATAAACATTTATTACTAAATACTCTTGGTGGAAATTCTACATCAGAAATTGGCGAAGGAAAATTTAATAAAACTTTCAGGTAGTAATGTACAAATAGGAGTTCTTAAAAGGGGTAAAACATTTTTTGTAAAAATTTCTCTCTTTTTGTTTCATGGTCCTTAACTTTATTTTATACACACAGTTGTACTTGCATCTATGAAGTTAGTTCTTTATGCTGATATAGTATTACATAACATATTGAACGGTAGCACTAACAGTATAAATTCAGTAAGATTACTGAATAACACAAACAGTACTAGGAAATAATTTCTCATTATATATACTTGAATGTAATTTTACGCGAATTATAATATAGCGTGAGAAGCGTGTGATTACGCAAGTTGTCCGTGCACGCAAAGTTTCATGAAAATGTTAGCTAGTTTGTGAACGTTCAACCATTTACGGTGCTACATTATCTCGTGACTGTTTTGCGACGGTTTTCTCTCTGCTGAAAGAAAATCATTACATTAAAAGTCTTAAGTAGAAGTGATCGTTGAAGTTAGAGAAAATAAAGAATCTGTGCAACATAGACGCGCGGGAAGAAATGTTGAAAATTGAACGCTAACGTGTTTTATAATTATATATGGTTTTCTACAACATTTATACCAAGAAACTGACTGTATAAAAGCAGTAGTGTAAGACGTAAAAATAGTGCAAATGGTGGTTGTTAACCTTACGTTATTGTGTCATTGATGGTAACTTTAAAGACAGTTTGCTTGCTGTCTTCAGTTGTTGGAATAGTACAAACCTGCATTACAGTTCAACGTGTATTTCCAGTATCTGTATAGCGCCTTTAATATATTATATTCCCGTTTGTTGTCAGTAAAACAATGTTTCTCTTCAATTTGAATCCTAATACATGAAGTTCACTAATAATTTACGTATAGCACTCATAACGTAAAAGAGTAAAACTAAAAACTGTTTTTCTGTTGAATTTCGCGAAAAGATATTCGAGTGCATCTGCGCTAGCCATTCCTAATTTTGAATTGATAGACTTGGGAGAAGGCAAGTGCGGAGCGTGTTTTTTTGGCAATAACGAACCACGACACTGTCAAGTCCGTTAATCACTGGGTCGTACTTGATCCATTCAAAGTTATAATGCTCTTTAAATTTTCATATCACTATCTTTTGGAAGTTATAAAAAGTTATAAATGAAAGTCATGAAGAATGTATTAATACAATTTTAGATCATTTCTAATCCATTTATACTACAATAATTTTCCTATTATAAAAGTTTAATTATCATGATTATAAGTCATATAATTTGTACGAAATCGACTTTTAAAACGCATAGGGACTTTTATTAGATGTTTAAACATTTATATTTTATAACTTTAGATAGACTTTGCTGTGTTTGAAGATGGCTTAAATAATGAAACAAAAATTGGACAAGTTTATATATTCACATTATTAACCTTTTCTTACTTGTATCATCTTTTTTTTTAAATAATTAGAACGGAGTTATTTTATATGTTGAGTTTAGTATCTGCAAAATTAGGTTATCCACGGATTTTGTAACTGATGTTACAAGAAATATATATTCTGGTAAATGTGGCAAAGGACGGTGTCCATAACGGTATAAAGTGACCCATATAAGATTTAGATGAAAATTTAATCAAATATTGTAGCAAACACGATAGATAACTGATGACATGTTATATCCTAACCATGTAATGATTTCCAAACTGTTGGCCACAAACGTGTACAAATATATAAGTTAATCAGATATTATTAATGTTACAATAATTACTTGTAAAATTATTACATAAAAAGTATTTTATCCATTAATTTGATTTGATAATATACTTAAGCTAACCATGGTGATAAATGGCATAATGAACAGGCAACGAAATATCAGCATATTTTGCTCTTGCACTGCATGATACTTAAAACAAACCTAAGTTTTACGAAGTATGTTTAGTATTCAATGAATCTAAAGTATTATCATTTAGTTATGTGTGTTATTTGTATCATTTAAAACAGCAGAAGCCCAGAGCTGGATTGCGTGCGCAGTACAACTGGGGTAACTTAGGCTAGGACTACGTCCTTTCTGCTTCCCATTGCTCCATAGACTCCTGCATTCGGATTAACACAAGTTAATAATTAACGTATAATCTACAGTGCATCACATGCTTTCTTTTACTCCTTTCAGTGAACAATTCTCCAATTTGTCTTACAAATCTGATTTTCCTGACACAATGAGATTCTCATGACAAAGAAAATAGTATGCTTGCATTGGTGCTAGGGTTAAATCATTATATCTTTAAAAGTATCAAAAGCATTCGCTTGTGCGTAAAAAATAAATTTATTGGATAATGATCAATTATTTATTGTACACAGAAATTAATATTCTTTACTTTAATAGAAAATCATAACTGTATTCGTTCCGTGAAAGTTTAGATAATGAATCAGAATCAAGACAAAACCTTTACTTTATAATTTGCTAAATGTCAAATAACTAAAACGTTTATATTTATTTACGCTTCTTACCTTCCAGAAACTCGTTCAGTTAATTATTAAAGAATCATTCCAGTTTGAGTTGGCTGCATTACTAATCCTTGCTAAAAGTTTGGTTGCAACTTATTTCAATACACCATATACACTTTATTTAGTGTTACGTTCTACAATGTGAATTTGATTGCTCACGTTGATTTGACTAATCATTAATTACACCTTATACTAGTTTGTGTGATATTGAAACAGTTCGTATTGAAATACAACATGTCTATATTTTATACAGAACTGAACTCAAAAAGAAAATGTTATAATAAATCATATGTTTCAATATTTAAGCCTATAAAAATATAAGCTATTTAGAACTCATAGCTTTATATATATATACACACATCTTTCTAAGAAAATTTGAAGTATAGCACTATGTTTAGTAATATGTTCGAAGTTATATAGGTTTAAAAAATGTTTACAGTTTGTTCGTAATTAAGCACAAAGCTACACAGTGGCTATCCGTGCTCTGCCCACCACGAGTATCGAAACTCGGTTGCTAGCGTTGTAAGTTCGCAGACATTCCGCTGTGCCACTGGGGGATATAAATGTTTACAGTTTATTTTTAAATATAGTGAGCTTCTTTTCAAATAAAAGCTCCATATTTAAAAGCAAAAGAAACAGAGCGTACAGGTATTGCTAGTTTTAAAATAAAATCATCTTCCATAATCAATGTTACTAATATCACATCTCATACGTTTTTAGTATACAGCTTACAAATTACTAAACACAATTCACGAAATATATTTGGGTGCATTACTTTTTGATATATATATATATATATATCTATGTTTATCTCATTGAAACTTTTACAATGATATTACATTGAAAAAACTATAGCATGAGTAAATAAAAACATGGTTTGAATATCAAGGTGTAGGTGGAAACATATGTTTTTCTTTTCAATTCACTTAAACAATGTTAATAATACAAAACTTTTAATTATTCCTTGTGACCTCACTCTAACAACTTACATTTATTGCTTAACCAGGTGACATATATCTAAGTATAAAAAAGATAAATGCAGCATTTAATTAGATGTCATCTGACTAATACTAGTGAACGAGAACTTCATAAAAACTATAAAAATTAAATCTAGTGACAAGAGCTGAAAACTAACGACAAAACATAAAATTAATCCTAGTACCGAGGATTGAGACTTAGTCACAAATTCTAATAATAATTCTGGTACTAAGAGTTGGAACTGAACTACAAATAATAAAATGAATTATACTACCATTATTTAGAATTATATAACAAATTATAAAAATAACCCACTACAAAACATAAAACTTATCCTAATATTTAGCGTTGGAAGACAATCAAAAATAATAAAATTAACCCTAGTGTCCAAGATGTGGAATTTTACCCAAAACTTAAAACCAATATTTGGAATTTTACCACTAAACATAAAACTAATCCTTGTGACCAAGAGTTGGAAATTTAACGCAAAACGTAAAACTAATATAAAAGAACAAGAATTGGAAATTAACCACAGATCATAAACCCAATCCAGCTGACCATAGATGCAATTACATATGATTTACTACCAAATAATTTTAAGTAGTTTATATAAAGCATATCTTTGTGACCAAAACTTTGCTAAAATTACAGTGCAAAACAATTAAAGGAAGATATTTAT